TGCTTTCTACAGGACGGATGAGCTAACAGATCTCAGCCCAGAAGAAAGTGTGTTCATGCTGCCCTGCAAGGCGTACAATCTCAAAAGTTTCAAAGCAATTTACACAACTTAATTTTAGAAACCCAAGCCTCTGCCAATTATGCATCCAAATGATATTTTTTGCAGAAAAATGAAGAACTATTTGCTAGACCTGACCAATTGGTGCCCAAGAGCTGCATTTAGCTGCTGATGGTGATATTTACTTTTCTAAATCATATAATTCCGTATGCTCATCTGTGTTATGTCTAATTTGGTAGAATTGTGAAGGTTTACTAACATTATCATGAACATCTTTGAAAAATTGAACATTAAAGTTGTTTTAGCATGACTGCAATACATTTTAGTCGTAGCTAACCCCTTGAGTAGCCATTAGCTCACCAGTCCCAAAAGTTATAAACTCCAAACTGAGGTTGTGGGTAGGATATTTTTAATTACACATCTGAACAGCTGAAAACATCACAAAAGGTCAGTAAAAGAGTTCAAGAGCAGTAGATGTATTCTGCTATAGTTCAGTTCCTCTTTTATATCCCCTGATCAAGTTTCAGCCGTTCATAACAGAGTCAAGCCAAGAGTTTGAAAAGCACAACTCGAAACAGTGTTTATTTGTTTCTCAGCTGCAGACACCAATATCACCAACTCACATCCGTATAAACCTTCAAATCAGCTGTGTTGGCAGAGAAAAATGTTCTTAATGTGCTAGTTCCAAATAAATCATTCTCCAGTTTAAACGAGTGTCATTAAAGTGGAATAAACAGCGCAGAGATTATATGTATATGTATCTGTATGAAGAAAGAAGCTTTGCAGATGTAGATCATCTGCCACTGATTTGCTTCTGCAGCCCAACTTTGCTGCCATTGTTTGAAATTCTAAATGACATCACTGCCAGTCTCGTCTTCCCCCTGTTGTTTTATTCCTCTCAGGGAGCCTCCATCTTGTTTCAGATCACAGGCAATAAAGCAGCCTGCCTCTCTACGTCTGTCTCATTCTCTCTCTCACCTCCTGTTAAAGGATTCAGTCAGTCAGAGCACTCAAAACACATATTAAACAGGCATCAGCCTCTCGCCGGGGCCAAATCACGCTGTTCAAATGTTGTTCTTCCACCGGGAGCGCAGGACAACTGAAGAGATGGGATCTGCAACATTAACTTGATTCACGACCACGGCGACTGAGTGACACTCCATAAACCTCAGCGGGCCGCCGCTGGGCGCCGCCGACTGCACCCCATGGCTAATGTGACACACGCTAGCAACACGTAACCACGCCATCCCCGCAGCAGCGCGCCGCACACTCTGAAACACTCGCATAGGCAAGCACATACAGGGAGAAATGCATATAGGAACCCATATTGTTCAGACAATTAAAGCTGATGTTAAACCCACCTGCCAGCGTGAAGATTCAGAGAAATACAACCGAACACACACAGGAGCTCAGAGTTGCTTTAGATTTGCACACTTTGAAGCAGGTTTTATGGTAATGCTGCAGAAGCTGCTCTGTCATTGACTTATTATGTTTCTGCAGCCGATCTCTCAGCCCACAGCGTTTTGGCATAGGCTGTTAGCATGGGCTCCGTAGCTCTGTGTAAATAGGTAACCTCCGCTGCTCCAAATGCCAACCTCTCCTGGCTCCCTGTGACAGCGCTGACTCCCTCCACTCTCTAACTACAGGGCTTGTCACTTGAGGTGCAAATGGAAGAGCCTGAATTGATATTTACTGCACAATCCTGTCTGTGTGCTGCAACCTTATAATGAGTTTTAGGTAGTTTCCCATTTAAAAAAGTGCAGTTGCCTTCTCCTGGACCTTTACAGGGATGTGGAAGGATTTCGGCATTTCACTGATGGTGAAGGTTTATGAGGACGTTTCTGAATGTAGGAGATGTCAGGGGCAGGGTTTGAATAGATGATTGAAAGCTGCTGCGTTTGGGTGAATGTTCTCACATATGAACCATCTATACTCCCACAAGTATTTGTCTTCCAATTTTTCTTTTTTAATATTTATGAAAACATTATTCTGACAAAAACACAAAATTCCCAACTGAACCACTAGGTGGCAAGAACATCCACATAAACAGCACATCACTATACAGAAGAAGAATACCCTTGTTGTTTCCATTTCACACTCAATAGCAGCTTAACAACAACAAAACCAGGGTTATTTCAAAATAAAACTGGGACAAATGGCCCGGTTGTGTTTTGTTGCATAAAGTTACAGAAATATGTTTTTTGATCCATAACTTCAAAGTCTAGAAAACACCATTCAAAAAGATTAGAGTAGCAGTAAGACAGATATCCACGTTGTAACTGGTCCGACTAGCTGTTAGCACGTCAGTCTAATCAGAATTACTCTGTTTCACCAAGCTGTTCACAAAACACCTTTAGGTAAGACATGAATTTGTCACGTTTTAACTGAAACTCTGAACTAGTCATTTAAGCACATTACATTTAATCAGGTTATAGAAGAAAAATAGATATAAACCTTTTTTAAAGACACACTTTTGTTTTCTAACTTTCAAGATGTGGAAAAAGGTTTTTTTCTTTGGTTCCTGATAAAGAAGGCTGGTATAAAATTCACCTCTGAGCTGCCTCTAAATGTTCTTTAATTCCAACGTATCTAACTTTCAGGATAAACCTAAATCTGACCAGGATCTGGTGATTCGTAAGTGTCTTACCTGCAGCAGACAGGTAGCTCTCAGGACTGCTGTAGACGGGGATTACTCTCCACGTTCCTTTCTCTGAATAACAGGAAGCTCTTTTTCTGGTCAGAAATCATCTCTGCAAACAAAAACTTGTTTTTTTTTCCATCTATTGAAGATGCAGAGAAGTGATTTTCCCAGTTCCTCGTGTTTAGTTGGACTTATGAAACAACAATGCGTACTTCTGTGAAGCCTCAGCAGGAAGCACGAGTGGATGCTTGTTACGAACGACCAGGGGGTGCTCTATCTGTATATATCATTTTAATATTTTTAAATTGAGCTCTAAGCCAGAGTTAGAAGCCGTATTTAAACTTTAACATTGTTTGCTGCTGTGGACACTGCTGCATTAAAGTCTTAATAGTTCCCTCTGATGGTAGACAGCCTCATCACTCACCGGCTCTCTACCAAGACTTTGTGTAAACAGTTCTAAACTGCATTATTCATCTCTGGACTTTATCTTTGCTGCAGCCTGAGAACTCATGGTGACCGCCTGCTTTTCCAGTAATAACGCAGTTAGACCCCCACGTCTCTGCCTGCATGCACCGAGAAGGGGATAAAAAGGACGCGTTTGGATCAGATGCACTTTGTGACAAAACTCTGACTTTCTAATAAGAACAAAAGAAGTTTCTTCTTTGTCTGGAGAGAGAGTTTTAGGAGATCTGAAAGGTTTAAAAAACAGAAAGCTGCAAATACAGGATCAACGTTTGCTTCTGCTGACAGGCGTCTGTGTGTGTTTTCACTTATTCTACATTAAGTTCAGCTCTCAGCAGCTTAGCTGTGAACAGAAGCCCCTTTTTAATGTCTCAAATCCCCATTTTCCTGCATAGATTAGCCTACAAGTGTCTGAGCCAGGCGCTCTTTAAACAATGGCATTTCTAACACTGTTCCTATCACCTTGGAAACGCCGTGGCAACCTGTGATCTGAGAGGGCACAGTGTGGCTCAATTAGCACCAGCTGTATCTCAGCGCTCTCCTCCGCCAGCAGAGTGTCTCCATATTCTGTCTCCTTTCATGCATTAAGTGACACAAATATGTGAAGTGTTACATCACCTTTTATGTCAGTTTAGCTTTCTGTGATTTTTCCTCTCATTCTCTCTCCCAGCGATGGATGGATATGCATATGAGTTTCCAGAGTTGTGCTTTTAGGAGAGATTAGGTGATAGAAAATTCTTCAGTTTGGATCGGATTTGTTTCAGCTTGCTGCTAATTAAACTAAACTCTGAGCACATCTTTTCTGGTTGTATCTTCCAGCTGTTCCTTCCTGGTTACTAGAGGGTTTGCTGTTAAACTAAGGTGTATTTTTTTTTTTCCTGATTGGATTCAACACTGTGGCTAAAGCTAGTATCCTACTGCGGTGGCTGTCAGTGGCAAACCATGAAAGAAATTCAGGAGCGTTTCAAAATGTTGTAAAATATTTGCAAAGGATTCTCAGTTCACCCGGGGTGAGTCGCGGTGTGTTTTCTACTCTCGTGACAGCTCCGGCCTCAAGTCTTACAGCAGGTTATGGAAATAATATCTTAGAAACGTTCAGTTTTGCACCACACACTTCACGTAAACTAGAATATTTAGCTATTTCCTGCAGCCGGTGTCTCTAGTGCAGATTTCTGCTGGATCAACTATGTCCATCAAATGTTGATTTAGAACCAAAGCAATCTGTTATTTGAACCTGTCATCTTGTCGTTCTGGTCAGAATTCAGTTATCCCTCCAAAGTAAATTGAATGCATCTTGATTTCTTCGTTTTATTCATTTTTTCTTGTTATTTTTCCTCTTTTTCTTTTCCCTCTACTTTTTCTTTTTCTCTTCTTTTAACTTTTCTTCATTTTATTTTTTATTTTATTTTTTCTCTTCTTTTTAGTTTGACTCATTTTTTCCCTCGTCTTCTTTTTGTTCTTTTTTAGCTTTTTTTCATTTCTTTAGTTGTTTCTTCTTCTTTTACTGCCTCTTCTTCATGTAATATTATTCCTTTGCTTTTATTCGTTTGTTTATTCTTCCTCTGTCTGTGTCTGCTACAAAAGAATTGAAATTCAAGTCTGGATGTTTGTCATCAGAACGCAAACACTAAGAAAACCAATAAACTCTCTTTGTTTAAATAATTATTTTATATCTGTACGCAAATATCCAGCATCGGCCATATGTTGTTTCATTATCATTTTCATCAGTTGTTGGGGGATTTGAACAGACTGCTGGAAAATCCCAGTGAGGTATTAGCTTATAGCTGTTGGAGAAACCCCGACTTGTAAATCGTCATAACGTGTGTTCTTCTTCTTTCAGGTATTGTATCCAAATCCTTCGAGTGCCGCCTGAGAGGCCAGGGGGCTGCATTTGTGGCATCCGATTCAGACTCCTCTCTGCAAAGGAAGGGCTCAGATGAGGCATCCGGCCATGATGAGTCTATCCAGCAGGTCATCATCATCCAGGGTTATGGCGAGAATGACATAACCATTGATCAGGCTTTGGAGGAGTCGGCTGCTGCCACCCTGCAGACACTGGCGATGTCAGGTCAGGTGGCTGAGGTGCTCCACATCACAGAAGATGGACAAGTCATAGCCTCAGGCAGGGAGGTGGCCTCCGCAGGAGCCCACCTAGTTGAAAGCAGCACCCAGTATGTGGTTCTAGATTCAGGAGACACCAGTAAGGAGCTGCAGGCTGTGGCCAGCGAAGAGGTGGAGGACACAGATGCCACCGCGGGACAGAGTCACTCAGTCTCAGAGTCGACCACCGCCCTGGATGCTCTGCTTTCCGCTGTCAGTGAAATGGGTCATCAGGAGAAAATTCAAGACCAAGCAGCCGTCGTCCATGAGGTGTTGAGCCCTGAGATGGCTGAGGCTGCCGACACCGCCATGGAAGTCAAACAGGAGCAGGAGGAAGTGATCCAGGAGTCGAGGCACGGAAACATGCAGGAAGTGCTGCAGCTCGCCGCTTCCCAGATGATAAAGGACGGCCTCACCCAGGTCATTGTCAATGACGAGGGCACCCACTATATTGTGACAGAGCTGGATGACTGCACCTTACAGGTGGAGGGAGGTGTGTACGGAGAGGCCGGAGCGGGGCACAGGGAAGGGCAGCCTGAAGAGCATCAAGCCGAAGAGGAGATGGTGGTCTATGTGGATGGAGGGTCCCACAGTATCGTACTGGAAGAGTGAAGAAGGATCCTACTAATGTTCTAGTTCCTCTTGAGTTCTGTTGAGTCCTCCTAAATGAGTTATAAATGCTGTCTGTTGCATTTCACACAATCTTCATTTGAGCTATGCAAAACTCAGGCTGAACATCATTTAAAGAGGCGGCGTCTGAGAGCTGCTCAGATGGGACAAAAGCTTTCTAACCTCTGTGATGCTAGCATGATCCTTAATTTGTAGATGACCAAAGGTTTAGCTGTGAGATCCGTCGTTAGTATAAACCACCTGCTTTAATCAATCTGAAACGTTTCACCCTGATAAATTTGATGTTTTCTGTTCTCAAAGAAAAAGTATCCTCTCGTCTTTTGGAAAATCTTTAGATACGAACACTGTTCAAATTCTGACAATAAAGCTTAAATTTAACTTTCACAGTTTTTTTGTCACATTTCAGCGTCTATATTGTGGCTACACCTACCACACACAAACACGTAGATACATGCATCAGCTGATGGCTCCCATCATGCCTTCTGATCACCAGCCCACTCATTACCTTCACCATTAGCGTTATTGTCGCCATGATCCACATCGTCCTAATCGTCACCACCGTATACCATCAGCCCCATTCTGTTCGCTGTGTGCAACACACTCATCCCTTTTTTTCCCTCCCCGGCACCATTCAGCACTGCAGGGAGAATCAATATTCATTCAGACCCAAACGCGGGCCCGGTTTCTGATGGAGTGAGTGGGAGAGCGGAGTGACGGCTGCAAACACAATGGCTGCTCACTGAAAGCAGAGAGAAAGCACTCATAAAACCAAGGGCATCAAAAGATCATCCGTTTAACACACGTGCACGCAGCACACGAGAAGGTGAGCTCAGAGAGAGGGGTGGAGCAGGAGAGATGGAGGGTGGGGGGCCAGAGGAGAGAAGAAGTTGTGAAATCCACAACCGCACAAAGAGCAGAGAGCCTGTAATTTCAACTCACACCTGCCTGCCTTTTAACACGTTTGTCTCCTGCTCACCGCCTCGTGTTGCATTAATAAACTCCGTTGTTTCTGATCCTTCCAGCGACGACACGTTTAACAGGATTCAGGTGAGCATCCAGAGCTGGCTGTGAGATTATCAGCATCTGCTGCAGATAAGGATGCAACACTTGAAATGGTTAATCTGTACAGATATCACGGTTGTGGCATAAAAACACGGAAAAAGGATCATTTCTGAATAATTAACTTTTAGTTGATTGAATTTTTTTTCTTGTTCTAATGGGTTTTAGCACCTTTGTTGCCTGAGGAATTCAGTCTTTGAGCACGAATGAACCAACACAGTTACAAACAAGCGTTGATCATTGATGTCTTCACTAAATTATCTCTTTTTCACAGCTTTTCAAACGTAGAAGAAACAGTAATGGAGTTCTAATGTACAGCAGAACGGTTTAGGCGGTGTTCATGCAGAGGGTCTCCCAGGTGTCGTCATGGAGACGAGGGAACCTCTCTTTGATAATGTGGTTGTCATGTTTACTGGTGATGATGTAGCAACCTATGGATTAGAGCCTCAAGAAGAAGCTGAGATGAACAGATTTGAAGTTATTGATCTACATTCCAACCCACGTGAGATTCACATCACGAGCCAAAGAACATCTGGGAAACGAGCAGCAGAAACAGGCTTCGTGTGTTGGTGGCAATAGTCTCTGCTCCTCGTCATCACAAGATGTGAACTGAGAGGATGCTTCCTGGTCACATCCCACTGGGAGGAGAGCGTTGCTGGTGAGTGGGATGCCTGTGTTTTCTTCCACCGTAGCCCACCCTTTCACATCAAGAAAACAGGTTGGCTGGATTAGATTGAGGTATTTGTCGTATGTAACTGTGTGACCTCAGATCGGACCTGTCTAATGCATCCTGCTTCATTTTCACATTCCCTGAATATGAATGTCTGAGCTCATGCTTGTCCGTAATTCTACACATCCATCAGAGTGATTGTGTACTGTATGCAGCTGCAGCGCGTCCGCACACCCTCCCCGTGTGTCTCTGTAATCAGTGCTGGATGGCTCATCATTAACTGCAGCAGGCCACTCATGTGACATGGAAGAGGGAGAAATTAGCAGCTGTCATCCAGTGATGAGTTCATTTCCTGACAGGCCTCTGCTCTGAAGAGTCCTGCTGCAGACGACCAGACGGCTGATGGAAACCTGCCGCTGAAGCTTAATTGGAGAGCCAGAAAAGGCCACGAGGGGAGGAGGGGGAGTGAAGAATGTAGGCATCAGAATAAAGAGGAATGGCTTCACTCAGATGTCTCCCTTGTTATAGAAACAAAAGCATCATTCAGAGATACTCCATGCTTCTCTAGTTGTTTTAAGCATTTATGAGGGAAATGAAACTGTTTCGAGTCACAAAACCAGAGTTGCACATGACCCCACCGCTGACCTGTTGGTTCTTAATCTAAAGCGATGAAAGTAAGTCAAACAATCACATAATGGAGACCAACTGTATTTACACCTGAACCATCTTATAATAAAATTCACTCGTAATAAAAGCTTTTAGCTGCATTTTGATCCAGCCTGCATTCTAACTGGCACAGAGTTTTGGATGGGCTGCAAACATAAAGGAGAATTAGCTAAAGACCAAATATTAGCTTGGTAGAAAAACAAATATTCTGAGTAAATTCTGATGCAGTGTCGTTACCTCACCATTGCAATAAATCCAAACTGAACCAAACGGTTTATGTTATGATGTTTAAACTATGAAAGAAATGCAAAGATACAAATGTTAAAGCAGCTGCCAGTGATTCATCGAGGCCACTATGGTTACCACAAACCTGTGCATTTACCTCCTGAAGAAAATGTGCACATTTGAACGTATCGTACTACTAAAGTTTCAGGACACAAAGAAGATTTGGAAATTTAAAGAAAGTTACACCTCATTCCCACTGAAAATGTCCGGTTTCCATTTGGCTTCAGAAGAGACAGCCATTCACACTGATATTTGGTCTCCAGATATCTGCTCCCACAATAACACCAAATTATTAGAAACTTAATGCAGTATGTTTATAAATATACCTGTAAAACTATGTGAACTATCAAACCTTTCACATATGTCCGCCAGTAATAATAAAACAGAAGCTGTCAAGAATGATGTGTGGGTTTTATTTTGAAATGTACCACATGCATCTCACAGAAATGCATCTCACTTCCTGTCTGGCTCATGCCATTTCTGTAACTCCATGAAAATCCACATGCAGCTTCTAGGAAAAATAGACTCCATGTGGAAACACATCCACATTCAGTCTGAACGAGGCTTAGGACATCTAGGACCAGTCATTCGAATGCCCGTTCAGTCATGTAGAATCCAGCTTTCTGCATTTCCTATGAAACCCGGATTTTTCTGCTGTGATTTCAGTCTGCTTCAACGAACTCCAGATAGGGTTTTACACCTGTTTTGCCTAAATCCCAATGTCATCTACGAAGAAAAATGTACCAGTTTTATGTTTTTCATATCTTCTCCATGTTGTTTTACATCCCACAACCAAAACACAAAACACAAATACCACGAGAAGCACACGGTCTGATCCTTAATCCGTATGTTTTTTTTGTTTTGTTTTGGTTTATTATGGAGCACAAAAATGGACAAAAATCTTAACAGAACTGCAAAGAGATCAGAACAAGGGCGCTCATGCACAGACGCCTTTAATGAAGCTTACGTCACTGGTGTGAAGCCTGAGATTCAGAACGCTCAAACAACACACACTCTTGCACGGGAACCCTAACCTGCACCTTCTTCCTGAAGGCAGCTCATCGCTCTCCTGGGGACAACGGAGAGGGATAGGACTGAGCACGGAGGCCTCCTTCTCTCCGTTTCCCTGAGTATGATAAATATGGCAATTGTGTTTAGTCGCCATCTATAGAAAACACATCAGCCTGGGGATCATTCTCTTAATGTCTCCACTATTAGTTCTGGCCTCCCTTTGGCAATATTAGCATGTTGGCTGATATGCTCTGTTTCTGTGTGTGTGTGTGTGTGTGTGTGTGTGTGTGTGTGTGTGTGTGTGTGTGTGTGTGTGTGTGTGCGCGTGCGTGCGTGTGTCTCCAGGTACAATTCCACTAAACTGCTGGGGTTAATTTCCTGTCCATCTCCCACTACACGTGCCCTGCTAGCTGGAACGTCGCTCATCGATGTTAACGAGAGGACACGTGTAGTTGCGTTTCAGAAGGCCGTGTTTGTTTTTGTCGTTTGGTTGCTGTAAATCAATAGCTGTTTGATGCAGAGGTGGAGGGCACGAAGAGGGGGGATGGGTGTAGGGGGCGCTTGGTTATGGTCCACCTCCACCATGGGAGTTATGGGAAAACAGAGGAATTGTGGTGGTGGTTGGGGGTGGGGGGGGGGTATGTATGTGGGGAGCCTTACACAGCAACTCCTCTTCTTTTACTTTTGCCAGAGTGCCTCTGCATTTTAGTCTTTGATCATGTTAATCCCTGCCTTGCACCCCCTCCCAGCCCCCATGTGAATCCCCCTGCCTCACACTCACTGCCACACACACACCTCAGTGCATGACAGAAATTGACAGCACACTCTATCCGACACCCCTTCTCTCCTTCCAAAATCGCAAGTGCTCCTCATCGGTGCAGCTTAGCCCAACTCCTATAAAAGAATAAAGTGAAAGCACCAGGGAGGCAGGCATCCCCACCGACAGTTAGCAGCACTTCATTAAGGCGGAGCAGTGATTGAAAGGGGATCTGATTAGCTTCTTGTGATGAGAAAGCAATGTTTCAACCTTGAACCAGAAACGACTGTAAGTGCCTTTTAATTAGGAACACAACGCTGAGGAATAGCTCTTCAAAACGTTCAAAAATCTAGCAAAAGATGGCAAAAAGGCTAATAAATGACGAGACAAAGAGTGGATCAGCAAGAGGGCGAGTTCCTTATGCTTTAACAAAAGCACCACTTCATCAGCACTGTGTGAGAGAAACTTCTAAATGAATCATTCTGAGCTGCTTTCAGAACAGTTTTAACACATCCTCTCTAATGGAGAAAATATCCTAAACATGCCCTCTTGAATGAAACAATCTGACACAGTCAGTTTTATATTTGTGGACCTCAGACGGTGTGATTCACGTGTGGCCTCTGTGAGTGCTGCGCGCCAACACGCTACTCTGTTTAGATCGCAGATCTTCACTGTCAGTCTGTGATAACACCTTTCTACAGAGCTGCTGCAGCCATCTGCTGCAAATCAGCACAGTCATATAGGGGTTAATTCTGTTGCTTCCTTCATTTTAGCAAAACAAACAACATGACAGATGAAGAGAGAAAGCATGATGTGGTTTTCATGATTCCAAAACTGTGTCATGATGAAGCGAAACGCTGTTTCTTTTGGCAAAAATTGGGTCACCTGTGTGGTAAATAAATACGCCGAGTGACAACAAAAACCTGCTCC